ACAGTGAGAGAACCCGAAACGGAGGTATGTGCCCTTGACTTGAAACCAAACCCAAGACCCTTCTGTGCACAGACGGACACTCTAACCATTGAGCCACATCGGCCAGGGCTATTTTATTTTTGATGCAATTGTAAGTTGGATTGTTTTCTTAATTTCCCTTCCTGATAGTTCATTATTGGTATATAAAAATGCAACTGATTTGGGGATGTTTATTTTGTATCCTGCTACTTTACTGACTTAATCTACCAGTTCTCATAGCCCTTTTCATGTCTCTGCCCTTCCTAAGGGTCTTGATGTGGTTTCTTCTATAAATCCTGATTATAAGACCTTTGATCAGCTAGACTTCAGTTGGTTATTCAGGTTGATTTTTATATATTTTAATTGTAATTCAAATTTGGTCCTGGGAGGAGGTGAGCGTAGCTTCCACCTACTTTGCTATCATCTTAGAGCCTTTATCATTAAAATTTGACACAGAATTTCTTGGTGTTTTGAGGTATGAAAGCGCATTAAAAAAAAACTTTAAATATTGAGTGTTTAATCAGTATGATGAAAGTTGACTTTAGCTGAAATGAGATTGAAATGTGAAGGCAGAACACCCTTGTTAATACCCTGTTAGGGTTAGAATTATCATTTCAATATGGTGTATGCTAAAAAAGCAAAACCAAAACACTGTTATAAAGAAAGAAAACCTGGGAGAGGAAATATAGACATTTGAATGTTAACCTAATTAGTAATATTGCTGGATTTGGAAAATCAATCCTATTTTCCTAAGTTTTTTGCTTTTAACTGTGTGTGTGTGTGTGTGTGTGTGTGTGTGTGTGTGTGTGATTATTCTTGTGTATTCTTGTGTCAATACTAAAAGTAAACTTGCAATCTGACAGTGGTTAACCAGTTATCACTAAAAATCCAATTATAGGCCTTTGTAGCAAACATAATCCCTGTTAGAAATGATAACACAGTGAAATAGCAAAAAAAGAAATATTGATGTAATCAACAGAGATACTTTTGTTTTTATACTTAAAGAATTTATATTTATGAAAACATAACTTTGAGAAGAGTTAACAATATGTTTCCTAACTGAATGATGAATAAATGAAACTAAAAATATTCTACAACTTTTAAAGCAGTTTCTGAAAACTTGGAGAAAAATTGGAAAGTGTTTATGGGCTGATATAATAAATAGAAATGAAAGACTCTGAAGTCAGATTTTTGAATGTACAGTTCACAGACGATCTCAGGAAGGCAGCTGAGAAAGCATTGCAAGAGATAAATGTGTCTATAACAGAGAGATATTTGAGCTCAGACATAAAAAGATCATGTACAAAAGAGGCACATGTCACAGACAAACAAAAAAAAGTGGCACATATCGAAAGAACAGGGTCAGGAAGGCTAAGGTCCAGAATGATTTTGTGAGAAATGTTAATGACTACCAAAGTCCAGAAAGCTTTCTTTGGAGCAAGGTGACAAACAAGAAAGAGAGATTCAATCTATGGGAAAATAATATAATGTCAAGAGATGGCAGAGAGAAAGGGAAAATGATCATTTTTTTCTCTGCCTCTATGTTCTCTATAAAAGAATAACTTTCATTTATTTGTCATCAATTTAATGAGCATAGACAAAGTTATTTCAGACACCAAATGAAAGGATTTATGAAATGGTGCTCCAACCTATAAAATTACTATGAAAGTATTAATTGCTATATGTATTATTATTAGCTAAGGTTATTAGTCTACCTAAGGATCTTCATATGTGCTAATGCTTAGTTAGACTCATATCACCCATTGAAGAGTAATACTACTCATTCCATTTAGAATTCTCTATTAAAGAGTATCACAAACATCACACCATTCATTTGATCAAATAGCATGTCTTCATACCATTTCTGTTATCACTTCTCACTGTGTTTATCACTACCACCCTAGTGTCAACTGCCATTATCTTTAACCTGAGCCATCTTCATACATAACTTCTTAATTTTTTCACCCTTGCTCACCTCTACAACTTGTTCCACCTTTACCCCCCTTTTTCTCCATATAGTAGCCAAGATTATAATTCTAAAACATTAATCAGATTATGTCACCTCCTCCATTCAAAATCTCCAGTGGTTCATAGAGACTTACATATATGAAAAAAAAAATAGTTGTGAATCATCATGTTCTTTTCTTCTTTAGTATTGCCTTGGCTCATCCTTCTCACTCTTACCTCTCAGAGGTCTCCTTTAAATTCTCTATCATTTGCTTCACTTCTTCTTTATTAATATTGATGCTGATGATTTGCCAATGGATCAGGGGGCTTTGCTAAACTTCAATCTTCCGATTTCATCTTTCCACAAAGGTAGATGGATTTCAATATGCTCTTTTTTTATTCACAAACTGTATGTACTAAATAATAATTATTACCATGAAATATCACCATCACTCAGGTTTTGTAGTTTCAGGTAGGTTTGTGGTTAATATTACCATAGGAATGATATCCTATAATCAGTTTGATGAAAATGCCTGACTTAGCAATGTGATGACAAGACTTTATATTTGTCTCTCAATGCTCCTTTAAATTTATTTCTAGATGTAAACTTAGTCATGATCCCTGGCTTTTCTTATCAGGATGACAGACAGTTTTACCCTCTTTAAGTTGCATTCACTTTAGAAATTAAAGTGTCCTGCCCTTGATAATAACTAACCCCCTGAACTTGCTTGAAGTTAAGTAGTTTATAGTCCCCTAGACAGATCCACATGGGCAGGTCATCTACAATAGGAGAAGAGGCAGCCCTTCTTTCTTTTAGTACCTCAACCCCAACAGAGAAGAGTTTCAGTTTCCTCTGGGATGGGTGTGTGGGGAGAGAGGAAAGGAAAAGAGAGTGTGGTGGTTTCAAAAGATGGCAACAAATTTTTGGCCTCTCTTCCATTCAGAGGTTGGGTTTATATATAGTATCTTAGCATCTTGGTAGGTTTGTGACTATCTTAATTAAGAGAGGGCAGCAGACATGATATTTGAAATGCCTCCAGTCATTTGTGTCTTCTCAGCTGAGAGCCTAGATAACATGAAACAGAAAAAAGCCATTTCCACTGGGCCCTATCTTTCTGACCCACCGAATCCATGAACATAATAAAGTTGTTTTGTGTCACTAAATTTAAGATGACTTGTTGGACAGCAATAGATAATTAGAACAAAGGGCAGGAATTTTCTTACTTGTATTGAACTTATACTTGATATTAATTTTGTGGACTCTGGGCCTGGTTTATGTTTAGACTCTTTCCCTTAAGTTATCTATATATATAGAAGCCGAAGTGACCAGCTGATCAGCTGACCAGCCAGTAGCTATAATGCACACTACCACCAGGGGGTAGACGTTTAATGCAGGAACTGCTGAGCTGCGGTTCTCGGATGATACACCTGGAACCAGAGGGGAGGGAGCCTGATTCTGGGGTGCATCACCCAGGAACTGCCCTCTCACAATCCAGGACCCCTCAGGGGATGACAGAGAGCCAGTTTTGGCCTGATCCCCACTGTCCAGGCCGAGGAACCCCACTGGTGCATGAATCCGTGCACCGGGCCTCTAGTATTTTTATAAGCTCCCGTTAGATCTTTTCTGGTAGCAACTCCTAAGATATGAGAAGAGGTTGGGATTCACAACATATCTCTAGAGAAGTGTGGCCTTATGAGATTATTCACATTTGCCTTTTTATCTTTAAAAAGTATCATATTCCTTCTCTGTGTTTTTATTTATATGATTTTATAATTATATCATGATTTTTTTGTGTAGAAATCTCTGTCCAGCTAAATTTTGAGTTTCTTAAAGGCAGGGGATATTTTCTTTACCTCAAAATTAATGGAAAGCCCTAACTGGTTTGGCTCAGCGGATAGAGCATCAGCCTGTGGACTGAAGGGTCCCAGGTTCGATTCCGGTCAAGGGCCTGTACCTTGGTTGCGGGCACATTCCCAGTGGGGAGTGTGAAGGAGGCAGCTGATCGATGTTTCTCTCTCATTGATGTTTCTAACTCTCTATCCCTCTCCCTTCCTCTCTGTAAAAAAAACAAAAAATCAATAAAATATATTAAAAAAATGAAAAAATCAATGGAAAAAACTACTTTGGGCTCTTAAAAACATAAAATGTAATGGTCCCATTTACACAATGGAATACTATGCAGCTGTAAAAAAAGAAGGATCTCTTAACTTTTAAAACAGCATGTATGTACCTAGAGATTATTATACTAAGTAAAATAAATCAGTCTGAGAAAGACACATATCACATGATCTCACTTATATGTGGAATCTAATGAACAAAATAATCTGATGAACAAAATAAGTCCAGAAGCATGGATAAATGGAACAGACGGACATATCTCAGAGGGGAGGGTGGTGGGAGGATGGAAAGAGATTAACCAAGATATTTATATGCATATATGCATAGTCCATGGATACAGACAATGGTGTAGTGAAGGCCGAGGTGGGGCAGGAGCTGGGAGTGGAAATGAGGGACATCTGTAACACTATCAACAATAAAAAATAATGCCAAAACCGGTTTGGCTCAGTGGATGGAGCATCGGCCTGCGGACTGAAGGGTTCCGGGTTCGATTCCGGTCAAGGGCATGTACCTTGGTTGCAGGCATATCCCCGGTGGGGGATGTGCAGGAGGCAGCTGATCGATGTTTCTCTCTCATCGATGTTTCTAGCTCTCTATCTCTCTCCCTTCCTCTCTGTAAAAAATCAATAAAATATATATATATATAAAAAGAATTCCTTAAAAAAAACAAAAAAAAAAAACAATAAAAAATAAGTTAAGATCAGTGGGGCCGATCCGCAGGCTGGAGGAGGGAAGCAGGCGAGGGGAATCCCAGCGCAACCTTCCCTTATGGGTATGAGGCTGTGAGGAGCGCCAACTGGGCGGACTCGCACCGGCAGCGAGGCGCGCTGCTCCAGCTGCCAGGCCTCCCTTGGCTCTGGCGCTCCCGCCTTGGGGCCTGATTTCCGCAGCGCACCCAGCCCCTGCTGCCTATGAGCCTGCCCCTGGCCCTTCGCACGCCCTGGGGCCAGCCCGGGCCCTAGGCGGGAGGATGAAGGAGCTGCAGTCGGCACTGCTACTGCGAAGACAGCTGGCAGAACTCAACAAAAATCCAGTGGAAGGTTTTTCAGCAGGTTTAATAGATGACAATGATCTCTACCGATGGGAAGTCCTTATTATTGGTCCTCCAGATACATTTTATGAAGGTGGTGTTTTTAAGGCTCATCTCACTTTCCCAAAAGATTATCCCCTCCGGCCTCCTAAAATGAAATTCATTACAGAAATCTGGCATCCAAATGTTGATAAAAATGGTGATGTATGCATTTCTATTCTGCATGAGCCTGGCGAAGATAAATATGGTTATGAAAAACCAGAGGAACGTTGGCTTCCCATTCACACTGTGGAAACCATCATGATACTTATTTCAGGATCTCCAATCGAGAAACATGGCACTGTTTTTCCTGCACTCTACCCACCTGTTGCTGGACTTCTCTTGTAACAAGTTGGCAAACACTGGCTGGAACTGAGCTGCAATAAAACAGGCCAGTATCAATGCTGACAAGAGCCTAACAAGTGCCAACTTACAGATGATTACGTATTTTGAATTCTAATGAACTGTTGTAACCTTCAGGAAGAATTGTAAAGACCTGTACATAGCGCAACATGATCCGGATAATATATATACTGTTCATGTACATCCACAAATACACCTTGTACCAAATAACGCTTTCTTGTGGTAGAATAAGAATCGTGTAAGTTCTAAAAGATTTTAGCAGGTTTTCTTCCCCTACTCATTGTTTCTTATGTTTTAAAAGACTCTTTAAAGCATGTCAGATGAAAAGCAATTAGGATGAAAAGTTTCCATTTAATTTCCTTTAAACCGTTGAGGCTTCCTTAAACTCTTTCCATTTACTAAAGTTTGTATCTTCTTTGTTTTGACACACTCCCCTTTATGTTTATCTCTTCTATCTGCCAGAAGGTTTTCAAATCATTTAGTTCCAATATTGAAATACTAAATAAGCAGTTACTTGATTTTTAATGATGACTTCGGAGGAGTGGTCATCACTAGGTGCTTTGTCCTTTTTGTATTCTAGTTGTACCCGTCACTTGGATTGGATGTAGCAATAACATTTTTTGGCTGTTGAGAGCTCTTGAACTGTCATTATTCCTAAGAACTAAAAAGAGTTGGTTCTGAATTCAATTTAGTGAAATTTACCCCAATTATACAAAATTCTGATTTGGTTTTATTTTTGCCCTCCAGTTACCTAATGTTAAGGTTGGATGACTAAAGCATGCACAGCTACAGGCTTTCTACTTAACTTCTGGGTTTGCTATTAAAAATGCTATTTACCCTCATAACCTTAGCCCTTCATATTTCTTTGCTTCTATTCTTCTATACTCAGATTTTTCTCACTTATTGTACAAAGAAATTGCGATGTATATTTTCATGTAATTTGATTTTGGAATTCTGTCACCTTATGTAGTGAGTTCTTCCAAAATATATTTTTTTTTCAATAAAAAAATAAGTTAAAAAGGTAGCAACAAAAAAGTAATGGTCAATTGCAATGATCTTGAGAGAAGGTCTCTTTGGGAGGTGCTACAATTGTCCTTTTAATTTTCTCTTCTAGAATCTCATTTTCTAAAGTCAGAGTTGAACCTTAAGTGATAAGATGAAAAACATATTTCTTTTTTATCCTAAAAAAAAAAAAACACTACATATAGGGTGCCCCCAAAAATGTATAGGCACTTTGAATGATTATAAAGTCAGTGTTTATTGACATAAAATGCATTTTCAAAATTTAGAAATGAATATTTTTTGTCAATGCCTGTTTTCAAACTGATGACCGTTCTGATTCAGGCACTGCTGATAACATGAAGCAATGGAATCGCAAGCATCAAGAATCATTTTGTTCAGTATTTGCCCTCAATTCGTTGACAGTTGCTGGCATTGTACTGTAAACTTTACCTTTTATGCATCCCCATAAAAAGAAGTCTAGTGGCACTATAGGATGCATTTTCTTTGTTCAAAACTTAGTCTGGCTTCCCTCATTATTTCAAATCAGTTAAACCTGAAAAGGAGTGAAAATTAAGTGAGTTAGCAGCTGTTAAAGTGTATATACACCTTTTTGGGGACACCCTATATATAGGTTGAGTTGTTATATTTAAAAACCTTTGTACTATTCTTCTTAACACTGGTGGGATTTTCATTCCCATTTTCTTTGCTATATGCAAATCTATTACAACACTCTCAGACTTCATTGTAATTATTGTTCACTTATTTTTTTCAATTATATTTGGAAATCCTTAAGGAGAGGAACCATGTTTTATTGTCCTAGTATGGTGTCAGAGTAATTGCTCAAAAACTTTTGTTGAATGGGTGGATGGATGAGTGAATGATTAAATTCCCAAGGAATATTTCTTTTAATTAAATCTAGTTAATATGTTGAAATTTCTTTGTGCTTCTTAATGTTAAAAAAGTGAAAAAAAGAGCTATTTTAGATGACAAACATTTTAAAATATTACTTCAGATTAAGAATAGCTTTAAAAAATATCCTAGACACTAAATAAAAAGCAATAAAGGAAAGCAATTGATATGTGCAGTTGAATCACTACAGAAATAATGAGAAATAATGGGAGAATTATTTTATGTGCATACGTTTAATGCATAAATGGCAATATGTGCCAATAGCTTACCACTCTGTTCAACTTAGAGCACTTGTGATATTGAGAAGTACAAGATGTTTGGGAAGCATAAGGTAGACAGATGAACTCCTGATTGTTGTTTCAGAGTAATGTTCTCAGATTAGTCAGATGTAAAACTTCAATTATGATTAGTCCTATTCACTTCACATTTAACAGAAGTAATGCATGATTCAAAAATGCCTATTAAAAAATATACTTGCCATTTTTTCCCTTGTGTAAGGCTGAACGTTAATATTCCATTTAATTCAATCCATATAATATTATTTTTGGCCATAAATGTTATTTTTTAAAAAACAATGTTTTCCCCAAGTATAAGCTGGCCTTTAATCCATGTCTTTTATAAGTCAGTTTTTCCTTAAGTAAATATTAGATAATACTATAATACAACTGTTACTGATTAAAGACTTTTAAATGATCATTTTTTAGTAGCATAGGACTTTCAATAATTATGCTTTTATAAAATTTGTAATAACTATTTTAAACAACTTGAAAAAAGAGTATTTTACTACTCTTCCTTTGTCTTTTACTAGAGGTTGTCCTTCCTCAAGTTTAGAAAATTAGCCTTTCTAAATCAGATATTATTAGCAGTTGTTGAATGTTTGATATCATTTATTCCAGGCAATATGTGCCACTAAAGTTTATTTTTCAAAAGAATTAAAAAAAAAAAGACCCATGTGGCATTTTGGATATCAAATGGTACTCACTAAAAACAAACAAACAAAAGAAACAACAATGACAAAGAAATTTCCCATATAGAAGCCAAAATTGTTTGATAAGCATGCAGGAGAGATTTCAATAAAAGATTCTTTATAATGACCAAGTGATACAATTATTAACATAGATAAATAGAGCAGTAAGGCATAAACTGAATATGGAAACTCATGCCTCACTTACCCACTCAATGTTCTGCTGAATAACATGCCATCACCTTGTAACTGAAGCTACATCAAAGGCATTGAAAACACTATTTATTCTCTCAGAAAACTGAAGAGCGACCTTGTCCAGTCTTTCAGGTAGCTCCATGCAGGTGACTGTCATCATGATCAAGGAGCTGAAATTCCATGTCAAAGGTTGAGGTTGGCATAATTAGAGTGGGAGAGAACAAAATGCAGTGGGAGCTCTCCACAGAGATTGCTAACACTTGCACAGTGATTTGCTCTGTCGAAGTACCATACAAACACTAGCTCTTTGATCCTTATCCTATCTTAGTAAGTAATTATATTTTCCTTTTTAAGAATTGTAAGGAACTGAAGTGTGGATACTAAACTATTTTTCAAGGTTTCTTAAGGAGTCATTGTAAAACCTATAGGCCAGCCCCTTCTAGAGTTCGGTCCAAGTACTTATTCTTAAAAAGTATTTAGGAAAACAGTAAGAACAAACTATTTTTTAAAATTGATTGCCAAAGTTTTTCTCAATTTGTCTCAAATTCAACCTCTCCCTCCCCTAACCCCTCCCCCACTGCCACCCAAGAGGTTGCTATAAAAATGTTTGGCACAAATGTGTTGAAGAAATAATGATGTTGTTCACAAGGAACTGTAGATAATTATAACTGAAATTGAAAGACAATCATAAACTTTAAGGCTGGCTAAGGACAAACTTGTGAAAGGTATAATTTCAGTATCTTCCCACGTCTCCTCCTACCTCCCTTCTATCCCCTCCTTTAGCAATCCTCTCCCTACATTAGATCAGTATTTATACCCTAGTGAATCCTGACCTACCCCCAGATACTTCTCATGCTAACAATGTACTGTAGTGGTTAGGGGTTTGGATCAAAGGGCAGACACATCGAAGTCTAAAAGTATCTGCTTCTCACAAGCTGGGTAAACTTCGGCTTCCTTCCTTGGCCTCTCCAGGTCTCAGTTTTCTCATCTGTCAACTGGGGCTAATAATAGTATTTACCTCAGATCATGCATGTGAAAGCCCAAATACCTGGACAATTTTAAGTACAAAATAAATTCTAGTTATTTTTTCCCCTCTTCTCTCTTTTCCTCTTCTCCTCCCCCTCTGCTGCTATAGTGTCAGATTTTCACAACTTGCTCTGATAATTAATGAAGATTTAATGGCAAATATACAAAGATACCTTGATTTCAAAAGAAAAGCTTGATGATCTATGTTGACTTAACCCAGTAGTCCTTCTTGAGCTTTAAGCACAAAGCTTTAATTTAATTATCCTATCCAATAATAGACAAACATGGTAATTATCTGTAACTTCTCTACCCTTCCCATTGGCTAATCAGGGAGATATGCAAATTAACTGCCAACTAAGATGGTGGTTAACTGCCAACAAAGATGGCGGCTAATTTGCATACTGCAGGCGGATCTTGCTGCACCGCCCAAGGCAAGATCCTGGCCTGCTGTGTCTTGGGCGGGGTGGGCGGGGCGGGCGGCAGCAGGATCTGAGCAGCCACTCGCCCCAGCACGGGATCCAGGCCTGCAGTTTCTTGGGTGGGGTGAGCAGGGCGGGCGGGGCGAGCGGCAGCTTGATCTGTGAGAGGGCACAGGTTGGGCTGAGGGACCCCCTTCCCTGCCAGTGCACAAATTTTTGTGCACGGGCCTTCTAGTCTACACTAATAAAAGAGAAAGATGTAAATTGACTATACCTTTGAGATGTGCCACCAGCCAATCAGGAGAGAGTATGCAAATTAACCCAACAAAGGTGGCAGGTTAATTTGCATATGCAGGCATCAAGCGGCCAGGGGCGTGGCTCCTGCATCGTTGCCATGGTGATGACATAGGTGTTCCGCACCGCCCCGCCCCAGCTGCTCCAGGCCTCTGGGCACTGTGGGAAGGTGAAAA